GACCTGACCCAGAGGTCAAAGCCAGTCTTCGGGGTCACACGGCCCCTCAGGACCTTTGGCTATGCTCTTCCTCCTAGTTCAGCTGTGTTTTATGTGTTGGCCTCACCTTCTTTAAACCATCCTTTAAATCATGGGACACTTCTTGCACACCAGACCTTCATTTACAGTGACACCCCAGACATTTCACTTCTTCTCCTGCACACCTATAGGTACTGCTTGTGGGAGTGTGATGAGAGGTGCAGGCCAGGACTAAAGGGTGCCATTGCCTTTGTGACCTCACCATCTCCATGGACTTGGTCCTCAGCCATTAGTGGAGGCTGAGATCAGCTATAAGATCCCAGTGTTGCTGTGTGCCCCAACGCTAACTGATTGTTTGCCACTGGGATCAACTTCGCTGTTGGGATTTGAGGGAACCCCAGTAAATAAATATATTGCTTCCCCTGTGAGTTTATAATTAATTGGCAGGTGTGGGAGAAAGACAGATGAGGATCAGCCTGTCACCTTTACTACTGATGAACCCGGTGGAGAGCAGACCTGCACACACTCCACAGCGGGGGTGGGGGGAGGAGAAAGAAGAGCATGGTCACGCCTCCTCCCGATTCACCATGCAGATGAGCTAGGCTACCTCTTGGGAGTGAACATCCAGGCTGCAAGGGGGAGGGAATTCTTCTGTGGTCCTGGGAGTGGGAGCCTCAGGACCACATGGGAGCTTTTAGAAATACAAAGTTTAGGTGCAATTTCTGGAAACATTGAATCTAACTAGGCATGGGCCCATGTCTGTGCTTTACTGAGCGCAGAGGTGATTCTAATACAGATCAAAGCCGAGACCCACTGGTCTAGTGGTAGCTGTTCCACACGGAAATAGGAGGCCCAGGAAGAAATGTTCCCCTGGAATATTCTGCCAGCTGTGCCCACCCCCCCCCCCAGCCCCCTACCCCTATTCCTGGAAAATGAAACTTAAGAGAAGAAGTTCCATAGTAGATTTTTAGCTTACAGCTGCTACAAGGAATGCCAGGGAAAGTTTCCTCTCCAAAAGGGAAAAATGTCACAGATTTGGTATTTGCTAGTCACACCTGTTTCTCTCACAGACCGTGGAGGGACTATTATCCCCTTGTTGGCATTTGATAGTCTCTGAACACTCAATGTTAGAGTGACCACTAACTGGAAGTTATGGATGGAAGCATATGTCTCTTCAGGCTCTGTGGCTCCCTGATTGCACTTAGATTTCAAAACAAACTTGATAATGCCTGCCCCTCTCCAGCCTCATCTCACCAACACACTCACACCTTCAGATATCCCTTCAATATGCCAAGCTTGCTCCTGCCTCAGGACCTTTGCGCTTGCTGTCCCGCTGCTTGAAGAACTCTTTCCTCAGACCCTGATATGCCTGGCGCCTTCTTGTCCTCTAAATCCAAACCCATATGTCATCTCTGACCACCCATTTAAGGTGCCAGCAGCCCCACATATCACTGTCAAGCTCACTGCCCTGGCTTATTTTCTTCAGAACATTTGACACCTTCAAAAAATGATCTGGTGTATTTGTTGACTTAGTTCTTTGTCTCCCCTTCACTGGAACGTAAGAGATCAGGGACCTTGCTGTATCCATGGCATCAGAACAGTTCCTGGTCTATTGCAGGCCTAACATTCACATAAATATTTGTTGAATAAATGAATAGATGAATGAGTTAATGGGCACAGGAAAAGGCTCTAGGAGCACAGTGGAGTGTTTTCGCCAACATTGATGGGCCCAAAGCCCCTGCCTTCCTCCTCTCACGGGGAGGGTCACCTGGGCCAGTGGAGCAGGTCTGGAATGCAGGCACCACGCCAGAGTTTCCACCTGCTTTCCCTGCCACCCATTATCTTAAGCATAGGCTCCCCCCTTCTTCTCCTGGCCCTGCCCTGCCTCCCCCTTCCCTGTCATTACATTAGAGTCATTACAAGCCAGCAGATTCATAGCCTCCTGTTGGCTTTTTCATAAAGAAATGTTAATGGAGTTATTTTTCAGCAGGGGCACTGCAAATGGTTGTCAAAACGCTGACTTGGCCACCCATATTGACATAATTAATCACACAGGAAACCAGAAAGGGGTGGCATGAGGCCTGGGGCCCGTTGTGTAGGGGGCTCTTCCCAGAGAGGAGTGTGCTGTAACACACAGCCGCGCCCACCAAGAGCCCACAGGTCAGGCTGGAAACAAGACAACGCAACTAGAAACATTACCAAGTAGTTCGAGTCAGGATCGAATGAGCACTGGGGCGGGCTCTTCTAGCGTCAAGCAATTGGTATCAAAGGAGAGGAAATTAAACAGGTAGGGTGGAGGCTGGAAGGAGAAATACCTTTAAAGACAGTCTTTTCTAGAATTATAAGGAAGATGGCATCTATTGAGTATTGTATTAGTTATCTATTGCTGGGTAACAAATGACCCCAAGCTTACTGACCTCAAATAACACACATTTATTATCTCACTGTTTTCTGGGGGATCAGGAATCCAGTTACAGCTTAGCTGGGTCCATTGCTTGAGGTCTCACAGGGCTGAAATCAAGGTGTCAGCCTGAGCCGAGTCCTCCTTTGGGGCTTAGCTGAGGAAGGACCTACTTCTCCACTCGTGGAGTTTCTGTAGTTCCTGTAGTTGTAGGACTGAGACCTTCAGTTTTTTTGCTGGTTATTGGTCTGAGGCCACCTCATCTCCTGAAACTTCCCACTGTCCCTTGCCATATGGGTGTCCCCAGATTGAAAGCTTACTTTGTCAAACCAGCAAGGAGGATCCCTAGAGCAAATCAACCATCCAGATGGAGTTTTGTGTATCATCACATAACCATGGAAGTCGCATCCCATCCTCCTTGCCTTACTCTATTGGTTGGAAGCAAGTCACAGATGCTACCCATGGTTAATGGGAAGGGATTGTACAGTGGGGTGTGGGAAAGGGGACCCATGGGAGAGCCTAGAGGGTGTTCACCACAGTCCCTATTATGTGCTAAGGGCTATGGCAGATACTTTGGCATGTGTTACATCATTTACTCACTAAAACTATCTGTAAGGCAGGCGTTACCACGTTGCATAGATGAGAAACCCGGGACACAGAGGATTGGGAACTTGCCCAAGGTCCTGTGAAGTTTAAGATGGGAACCACTTGTGTCGTGACACCAAGCTAATCTGTGCACACTTAGAAGCTGAGGTTCAGCATCTTTATAGTGAAGAGCAAGGCCTGATGGGGGAAGGGAAGGGGGTAGCTAGACGGTTATAGCTCTCCCATGAGAGCAGGAGGAAAGGATGGGTGTGGTTGCATGTTGTGAAAGAAGAAAACCTAGAACACTTATGTCTGATGATGTCTGTTTGCTCAATGAAGCAGAAAATGTGAGTGTCTCTTGAGTGAGTGGATGTTGGGCTGGAGGGAAGCCAAGTTGGAACAGCAGCTGTGGGGAATGGGAACGGGAACCTTGCCAGCAAGAGGGCAAGGTTGCCAAGTAGCATAAAGCTGCTTCCTCCGGGAAGACTTCGGTGGTTGCCTTTGTGGGTGGTACCCATCTTGCCCCAGCATGTTGCTCAGTCTTCACTTTCCTCATCCTGCCTTGCAGTGCTGTGGGTTATGCCCACATTCTCCATTCTCATCAGAGGGAACATCCTGTCTCGCCGAGCAGGAACCTAACAGTAGTCCCTGTTGGACTTCCTGGCACCCAGCACAGGCTCTAACACAGAAGTCCTACATAATCCAGGATTCCTGCCTGATATTAGACCCTGAATTTCTAAATGACACCGTATTTCCTCTCCTCTTCAAGGTTCACCCAGTTCTGAAAGACTTTTCAAAATACATATTTTTCACTTTTGAAAGTAAAAGTTTAAACAATCCCATCATGGACTAAGGGTTGGAGGTAGGACTAGGGAAGTCTGTAGCATGCATAGCCTAGTGACGAAAAAGCAGGCTTGCTGGTAGGCCCAGTCTATTTGATGTCAAGAAGTCGAGAGCCATTTTAAAATATCCCATGTGAATCTATATTGATTGGTATGAAATGCTGCCCACAGGATATTGTTGCCTGAAAAAAAATTGTTGTCTAAGATTACCTGTTTTGACTCCTTTTAAGTGGCAGAAAACCTAAGTCTAACCATCTTAAAGAAAAACTGAAATGTGAGGCCATCTTCAGTGACAAGTTAAGCCTGAGAATGAGCAATGACTGTCATCAGCCCCCGGCTGCCTCCTCCCCTAGGACTCCTAGGACCAGTCCGTAGACCCATTCTGATTGGACCAATGTGGGTCCCATGCTCATCACTGAACCAATCACTGAGGCCAGGGGCATTCCATTTCATCAAACCTTAGTTGGGTTGAATCACTGTGTCATGAGCAAGAGGAAAAGGAATGGATGCCATGTGGTGATACAGGCAGACCATCTCTGTTCTCTGTATGCTGTGCTTATAGCCACAGAAAAATGGGTGGGTGCCCCAAAATATCAACAGGGTTTTCTCCAACTTCTAGGACCTGGGACACAATCAGGCAGCTGTTTTTGTAAAATCAGCCCCGAGCTTCCTCCTGACTAGGACAGGGGCCACCGCTGGAGTTTCATCTTGGCTGTTAACGGTATCCAAGCCTTACTGTGCTGTGATGTATGGTGCAGAATTAAGGGTTATGGCAGATACTTTTCCATGTGTTACATCATTTATTCCAGGCTTCTGACCTCCTGGTGAGGAAGCTGGCGGGACTGTACATATACCTAGCCTTGAGTCGGGCCATGACCCTGAGCAGGGCCTTCCACCCTGGATAACTAATTGGAACTGGAGACTCTTACCTTCCTGACTTTTAGCGTCTTAATACCTAGAGACTCACACACACCCTCTTCCCCGCCCAAATGAAGTCCTGTAGGTGCCGACCACTCACCTTTGGCCACTGTTGCCACATCTCTCAATGCTGTCCCCTCCCCAGATCAGTTTCCAAACTCTACCACGCTACTCAGTTCTGCAAAGCAGCAGCCACAGCCGCTCTAACGCCACACACGAGACCAGGGACAGGCAGCACAGTTGAATGGCCTTTATTTCTATTTGGAGCCACCAGCTTGATGGGCCGCAGCCTGCCCACACCCCCTGCACGGTTTCCTCGCCAACCGTTTGAGATTCTTCCTGGCAATGCGTTGCTCGCGGTAGATTTTCAGTTCCTCGTAGTACTTAGCTCTCAGAATAGCGGCTCTCTCTTCGTACAGCTGCTTCTCCATGTCTGATTTCGCAGCCCACAGCTTCCCTGAGGCCTTAGCCACCTGCACGACGGACCAGGTGGGATTCTCCCTCTTCAGCTGGGCATAGTGGTCTTGGCAGAAGAGTAGGAAGGATGACGGAGGCCGCCTGGGTGCGAGTGGGTCCCGCTTTCTCCGCTTTTTCTTCTTGCCAACGTAATTCATCATCTCTTCCTGGTATCGGGCTTTGTCGAGCTTGGCCAGGGCTTCGTACTTGGACTTTTCGTGCTTGGAGATGGACTTCCATTTTTCCGAGCACTTTCTAGAGAACTCTTTAAAGCCAAGGAAGGAATTTGGCTGCTGCTCCTTAAACTTGTTTCTGTAATTCAGTAAGAAGTGGATGTAAGAAGAGACATTAACCTTGGGCCTTAGCTGGATTTCTTTTGCCATGTTCATCAGATCATGTTTTTCTGGATTCAGTAACTTGGACAGCAGAGACTTTTGTCCCCACACTCCAGGAGCAATCTAGAAGGTGCTCTGCTTGTGGTGAATTGTCCTCTCTGTAAGAGCTGCAGTCAGGGGCCGGCCTTTTCAGTGGTAGGGGCATTATTAGGTCATAGGAGGAGCTTGTGACGTCATCCACAAGCTGGCCACTCTTGGCATTTGCATAGAGGGACTGTCATTGGTTGGCTACGCTATGGTCAATTTTTCTTGCATCTCATGAAACCTAACGGTTTTTCTGGAGAAAGCTATGGAGTAGCTCCTTCCCCCAGAATATTTCCCCCTGGCTTCCTGGAGGCAGCAGCTTTGCTCAGCTCCGGTTCCTCAGATGCAGCAACCAACCATAGGATTCTGCCTTCCTCACCCTAATATTGACGAGATGCCATGTCATCCCTTCCAAAGTCAGGCTGGAAATAAGGGACTCGGGGAGGTGGATGGCCCCAGAGCTGCGGTGATAAAATGGGAAGTCTTTCTGTTTGCCTGGAACAGTGGCAGCTCACACCACACAGAGTTTAGTAGTAACTCTAAAAATAATCAGGCGTCACAGCCCTGACTCGCTTCCTGTCAGGACAGAGTTGTCTGATTTAAAACCTGAGCACTTGGGTTGTAAGTCTAAATTCTTCTTCCTCTGAAGATTTTTGAGGGAGGGGGGAGAGCAGAAGAGAGGAGAACCTTGGCATTTTGCTAATTGCATTTGAGATCTAATCCTTGGACTCAGGGTTCCCCACTTCTTGGGGTTAGAAGACCCAGGTCTAACAGCTACATTCAAATAAGTTGGTCTCTGGCCTTTTGTAAAAGCACTCGCAAATATCCCACAAGACTTCCAACTGGAAGAAAAAGAGAAGTTCAGTCAGAAGTTTAGTCACCAACGGGTACTTGCTTGTTTGATAATGGAATTAATATGACTCGAAAATCGAGCCTCATTAACATAAAAATTAACCTGTTTAAGGTAAAACAGCCCAGAGTAGGTGGGAGTGTGGATTTGGGCTCATTTACCCCACTCAGGCCTTGCTTCCTCCCATTGATAGAAAACTAACTGCTCCTGTGAGGGCTAAGGGTCCAGAGAAACTTGCCTAAGACTAGACTGCATTTAGGATTTTTGCCAAGTCCATTCCCAGGGCTCCAAGATTTACTTCATTTTCCATCTTGTGTGAAAGAAGAATGGAAACTGATGAGAGACCCAGTCTTGAATTCTAGCCCAGCTCTGCCAAGGGCCACCTAAGCCAGCCCCTTTTCTCGCTGTGAGCCTGTGATTTCTCATCTATAAAATCAGTGTGGTGGTCGAGACCGGTTTGGCTCAACAGATAGAGTGTCGGCTTGGGGACTGAAGGGTCCCAGGTTCGATTCGGTCAAGGGCATGTACCTTGGTTGCAGGCATATCCCCATTAGGGGATGTGCAAGAGGCAGCTGATCAATGACTCTCTCTCATTGATGTTTCTAACTCTCTATCTCTCTCCCTTCCTCTCTGTACAAAATCAATAAAATATTTTTTTAATAAATAAATAAAAATAAAATCAGTGTGGTGGACTGGCCAGAATAGGCCCTCCAGCTGACATGCTATAGTTCTGTGGCTGGATTTGGGGGCCTCTGAGATACCAGATGCCAGCTGAGGATATCTAGGCTAGGGTAGGGGAGAGAGGGGCTGATCCTGAGAACGATTACTCTGAGGACATTTGTCAACCCAATTAGCTTTTCCACTCCAGTTTTTTCTCCCAAGAAACCAGAGGTTGGCTCACCTGTATGGTAGACTCGAGCTGGGCTTCAGAGATGAATGGGACACAACTTCTTCCTGAGGAAAAAGGATGGGCTGTGAGGAAGAAGGGGGGGTAACCGTCCTGCGTACTAATATACTCTGCCAGACTTACAGAACAACCTGCAGCTTATCTGGGCCTCTCTTCAGGGCCTCTATTTATGACCTTCACCCTCTCACAAAGTTAAGATCCAGGAAGATGAAACCAGTGATAACCATTTGGCCCACCAGATCTAGGAAGAAAAGATATAAAAGCATAGAAGCTATGGCAGTTCTTGGTTGGTCGGGTCACATCTCTAACATGGAGGGATGAAGCAGGGGTCAAGGGTCCTTTGTCTAAAGCTTCCAGAAGGTAACGCCCCCTGCTTTCTAGAGCAGTGCTGTGTGTGCTGGTGTCTGAGGTCTGCCCCTCCAGAGCCCCTTACTTACCTCTGCACTCTGCTCTCTGACCCATATGGACCACATAAATGAATCCTGTGTCCTCTGACTTACATTTGTTTGGCCAGTGGAGACCCCAACAGGAGATGGAGGGAGGAGGTGAGGTCAAGGCATTCACTCTCCTGGCTCCCTCCTGGGGGCTCAGCTGGAGCTGGCTCTCAGTCCCTGGGCCGAACACCTCTCCTTAAAACGTCCTCTCTAAATGACTGGCCCCTTCCAGGTTTAGGAGCCACCCCTCTCCTTGCCCCCGCCTGCCAAGGTGGTAGGATCTCTGCTTTAACTAGCCTCGGAGGACTGGCTGTCCCTTGTGTCTTTCCCACACCTTGCTCTTTCCTTTGTGAACAGCCTCTTTATTAAACACACTAATTAAACATCTAATTTGAGTGGCCATCTGTTTCAGTGCCATCCACTATGAACAGCCGTGAGGTGGATAAAGTGTGGACATCAATCCAGGTAAGAGGGTATTGAGCTTCTGGAAACCTAAGAGCAGAGCAATCACATTGTCTGGCATGGTCTGCATGGGCAGGAGTGCCTGCCAGGACAGTGGCAGGACAAGACTACCAGGCCCAGGAAGCAGCGTCTCATATCCTTGTATCGCGAGATGACGTCTAGGCAGGGCCAGGCAGTAAACAGTTTAGGTTTTACAGGCCACACAGTTTCCATTCCAAGTTCTCAACTGCCATTATAGCTCAAAAATAGCTATAGATAATATGTAATGAATGAGGGCAGCCGTGTCCCAATAAAACTTTGCACAAACAGCTGCCATCCACATCCATTTTACATCATGACCCATTTATTTATGCACATGCATACCTCATAATAGTATTTACATAATGCCTAATTTGTGTCATCTTCTGTTCTAAGCACTTAGCCTATATTAGTTCATTTAGTCCTTATAAGAGCCCTGTGTAATGGGATGGGGTGCTATTTTTTTCTTCTTAAAGATACATGTCTCTAAGCACAGACCTTACAGAAACAAGTTTTTTGAAACCTCCATTTTCTATTCTATTCTGTTATAATCTTCTATTTTATTTTGTTATTTAAAATACAACCCACAGACTGGTCTCATGACTCCTCAATTAGTTTGAAAAAATACTGTCATAGGCAAACTTGGAGGGAGCTCCCCTGTACTTGGTGATAAAATGAACTGAAAATCAGAACATGACCTTTGGAGCCAGAGAAACATAAGTTCAGATTCTAGCTTCACCACTTACCAGGCTGAATAATTCTGGGCAAGTCCAGCTCATTACATCCTTCTCTGGGCAAGGCTTTGAAGTGATGATAAAAGCAGGGATTAACTCACTGAAATAATAGAAGCCCCTGACACTCCCAGTCTCCTGCAGTGTGGGCTGGATTAGGGACCTGCTTCTAATAAATGGAATATGGAAAAAGATTCTATCTTTACAATGGAGGTGAACATCAAGCCATGTTGATATCACAGCCGCACTTTCTGTGATGTCATAAACAAGGGCAGCTCCCTCTGTGTGATTCCCCCTTCAAATCCATAAACCCTGGTCTAATTATGAGAAAATATTAGACAAACCAAAGTTAATGAACATTCTAGAAAATACTTGACCAATATTCTCCAAAAGCGTCATGGTCTGGAGAAAACAATAAAAGCATGAGAAATGGGATTGAAGGAGACTCAGGAGATGTGATTACTGAATGCACTGAGAAATGCTGGACTGGGTCCTGGAACAAAAGAGGGAAGTAATGGACAAGCTGGGCAGATCTAGATAAAGTCTCCAATGGAGCTGATGGTTCTGTAGCAATGTTGATTTCTTAGTTTTGATACACGAACCATGGTTATATAAGTTGCTAATATTAAGGAAAGCTGCTTGAAGGAAATTTCTGTACTAATTTTGCAACTCAGTTCTCATTTCAAAATATGAAGTTTTGGGTGTTTTTTGTTTTTGTTTTTGTTTTGTGTTTTTTTGTTTGGTTGGGCTTTTTTTATCTCCCCAGCTCTGGCCAGTGTGGCTAAGTTGGTTGGAGCATCATCTTGTATACATCAAAAGGTTGCAGGTTCGACTCCCAGTCAGGACACATAACTGGATTGTGGATTTAATTCAGGGTCAGGTTGTGTACGAGAAGCAACCAATCAATGTTTCTCTATCACATCAATGTCTCTCTCTCTTTCTTCTCTCTAAAATCAATAAAAATATCCTCAGTGAGCACTTTAAAAAAAACAAACATATCCCATCTGAAAAGTACATCTGAAAGTACTGTGCACCCAGGGTTGAGACAGCCTGCTCTGGACCCTTCTCTTTCAGGACACACAGGGCAGATTTTAAACGCCATCACAGTAACCTACACTATGGGCAGATCTTTGTTGCAGTGTTTCTCAAATATGGGGGCATGCTGGAACCACCTGAGAAGCTTTAAAAAAATCCCAGTGCTCAGGCCACAGCAACAACAGGAGCAAAAGGACCAGGCACAGACAGGAATGGAATAAATGCTTTGATGCTTCCTCCACCCCCTCCTGCAGCTCCTCCACCTGTGGGCTGGGAATCGGTAGCTGGGTGGGCCCTCCGAACAAGGTACCTGTGGCCAGAAGAATGACTCCACCAAGACCCCAACGTCTGTGAACGTTAACTTGCACAGCAAAAGGAACTCTGCAGACGGGTTATGTTAAGGATTTTGAGATGGGAGATTATCCTAGGTTATCCAGGTGGGCTTGATGTCATTTCCTGGGTCCCTGTCAGAAGAAGTAGGAGTGTCAGCATTAGGGATGGAGATGTGATGACAGTTGCAGAGGGACAGAGTCTGAAAGAGATTTAAGGTGTTGCCCTGCTGGCTTTGAAGATGAAAAGACCACAAGCCAAGAAACAAGGCTGCTCAGACGCTGGAAAAGGCAAGCAAATGGATTTTTCCCTACAGCTCCCAGAGGGCTCCGCAGCCCTGCCGACACTTTGACCGCGGCCCAGTGATACCCATTTTGGAGTTCTGAGCCCTAGAATTGTAAGATAATAAATCTGTATTGTTTCAAGCCATGAAATTTGTAGTAATTTGTTAAAGCAGCTTCTCGTCTAACTGGTGGTCTGTAACTTTTCCTGTGCTATCCTTAATCCCTGCTTGTGTTAATAGAGATGAAATATTTACACCGATGTTTATTGGATTAGTTAAATCACTGATTTATAGTGACCCGTGAGAAGCAGGCTCTAAGGGATGGACAAGACTTAGAAAGGAAGGTGGTACTAGAGAGAGGAATCTGAAATTTCCTAGAAGCCAAACTGGTGGGGAAGGCAGGGTCATAAATAGTACACTTAGGCCGAAACCGGTTTGGCTCAGTGGTAGAGCATCGGTCTGCGGACTGAAGGGTCCCAGGTTTGATTCCGGTCAAGGCATGTACCTGGGTTGCGGGCACATCCCCAGTATGGGGTGTGCAAGAGGCAGCTGGTCGATGTTTCTCTCTCATCAACGTTTGTAGCTCTCTATATCTCTCCCTTCCTCTCTGTAAAAAATCAATAAAATATATTTTAATTAAAAAAAATATTATAGTACACTTAGGCTTCCTTGGCCCTGACCTCATGCCAGGCACTGTCACTCAATCAGATGTGACCGTAAAAAAAAAATTAGGATGATGCTTTAAGTTTATCACTTTGGAAGCCTAGACAGAGGTTAAGCGGAGACAGGCCTTCACGTTCAGGTTGGCTTGACTCCTGAGGCCATGAGGTCAGCCTCGCCTGGGAGTCTAGAGACTGCCTTGGCTGGGGTCAGGAAAAGGAGGAAGCCTGGAAGGATCAAGGCCAAGTCTGTCAGGAAGAAGTCAGGCAGGAGGATGTTGTGTCTGAATCTCCACACTTCAGGGATTCAGACGAGATTTTCTCATCTGGGCTGATGCTCATTCCAGATGGATCTGGTCAGGCGATCCCAGTAGACTGAATGCCTGGAGTCCAGCAAGTAGATTGACCTGGACAGCCCACTGCACCACAGTAGCCTCTGTGGAGGTGTACATGGAGCCTGCATCCACTCCTAAGGACAGATGCTGACCAGAGCTGGCGGAGGTGCCAGCACCCAGACCCACAGACTAGCGGACAGCTGGACAGGAA